AAGCAAGCCACACGCCGGGAGGAGACAGCAGTGTTTCTCCATCCCCCCTGAGGGCTGTTGAGCAGCAGCAGAGCCCTGATTCCTGTTCCATTACTGATCATCAAAATGCGTAATCTGAAGTAGAGAAGGGCGTATTGAAAGCCTTCCCACAGGCTTTATTTATAAATCAGAGTCCCCCATGTTAAATAAACTTAATTTAACTTGACGTCCCATCAGCGTGGGTCCCAGCACCGCTGTGACCATATCAGCATGGCTGTGGGGCCACCAGTCCTTGTCATCGCAACAGGCTCCTTGGTTGGGCTGGAGAAGCTGTGGAAGCAGGGCTAGCCATGTCCCTGCCTCCTCTTGATCCTTCAGGTGCAGCTTCTGGATAGTTCTTTTGTGGAGGAAGACAAAAAAAAAAGAAAAAGAGGAAAAAAAAAATCTCAGAGAGAGGGTGTCTTCCCCGAGTTCCTGCCTGGCTTTATCTCCAGGAGGAATCTATAACGTGCTGACATTCATGCAGTGCTACCCCAGCAAGCACTAAAAGCCGTATCTTCTTGACTTGAGAGAGGAGAGGAAGAAAAGCGATGTGAATCGAAGGAAACTCCCATCTCCCACGACGGCAACCCGCAACGCCCTGCCCCTGCAGCCTCTGCTTGGCCCGGCAGGCAGAGGTGGGATGGGGAGCTGCTTTGAGCGGAGCAAGACCGGTGCAGTGGGAACACCAGGGGCAGCTTTACACAGCAGAGGGAGCTGCTTCGTGGGAGTTTTGTTGTTTGGGGTTTTTTTTTAAAGGATATTTCATGGTTTAATGGGAGGTTTCCATTGCCTCATGCCCCATAAAATCACACTGTAGCACATTGTCGTGAAAATAGCTGCACCCTGTGAATGACTGGGACTATTTAAAAATGCAAACGGCAGAGAAGGAACCTCAAGGTGACCCCTTTTTTCTATCAGGAAGCAACTGTGCGCTTCTGCGGCCTTTCCTGCTGTGCCACGGAGGGCTGTGTGTTATGCCCGGCCCCATGGCAAAAGCCCTGGCTGGCACCAGGGCCAGTGGGGCAGCCTTGGGTCCCACAATGACACTGCCTGCGGCTTTCTGCCTGCTGCCGGCTCTCCCTCAGGAGCGGGCTCTGGCGGGGGCAGCAGGAGGCATTGCTGTTGGAGCTTTACAGAAGCAGGGCAGAGAACAGTGTGTCCCAGCGGCTGCTGCCCATCTCTTTGCTTTAACATCCATTGACAATACCAGACTGGAGGACCCCGGCCTTCCTGACATCTCTATCGCAGTTCCTAGCACAGGTTCTCACCATTTTCAAGGACTCTCAGATGCCCAAATTATACTGCAGAAAATGGATTAGAAGTGAGAAAAAAGCCCAGGAACATCCTAACGCAGTGCTTGACCTTGCTTCTGTCGCTCCAAACTGCTGGCAGAGGCATCAAGAAGAGTTTGAGGCCGACTGTGCAGCGTCCCTCCTCCCTCCAGCCCATCCTCTGCAGTGCAACCAGGTCCGACAGAGTCACAAATGAATGCAATACATCTTCATCCCTCCCAAAACGTAAACCAACCTGCAACAGGAACTCCCAGAGCAGGAGTTCACGCGCACGGATTAGGCTGGGGCGGTGGGCATAATTGCACCTCGTTTAGTTGCACTCAGCAAGGTTGCTCCTTGCACCGAGGCCAGGCTGCTCCCGAGCCTCAGTAGTCAGCACCTTACTGCAGGTGGCAGGCTTGGTCTGGCAGAGGACTGGGAGAGCTCTGTGTAGGCAGCCAAGGTTTATTAGAGAAATGGTTAAATTCAAATGACTTGGATACAAAGATAAGCTGCACTGCCTTCTGAAAGGCAAAGGTGTTTCTGACCCGTAGAAACTGATACAGGTTACCGAGACATCAGTGACCACAGCAGGATTGACAGTAAAATGATCACCTTGCAGTTAATCTTAGCGGAGTCAAAGTTTCTTTCTACCTAGTACATCCAATAGGATGCGTACATTGTGTCAGCATATAACTACCGCCTCTCGCCTATAGCTTTGCTGCCGTTCCTCTGGGACGTTGCCATCTGTCTCAGCAGCATCTCTTCCATTCCCGTTCAATCACAGTTGCTCTCCCCTCCCTCGTTTGCTGTGTTTAAACATCCAAAGCAACACATCTCTATGGAACATTTCTAAATTCAGCGTTAGGCTGCTCTCATCGTTAACTGGATGGGGGAATAAGAAGGTGCAGAAACTCAAAAATCTGTTATTAGACCTTTAAACTAAAATTAAAAAGAAAAAACAAAAACCACTGTTCATTTCTCATGGAGAATTCAAACCCTTCACCGGCATGTTCCTAGGAATGTTTTTCTGCTTGCGATGGTTAGCATCATGGGATCGTATCCACCTTCCCTCCCTGGAGCTCCGTGGCATTGTCTCCTCTGTGGGATGAGGTGTCATAGGGCTGCACACATCAGTGTTGCTGTCCACACGCCCGTCAGCACGAGGCTGGCTGACAGTCTGAGCACAGGGCGAGCCCGGAGGGATGAGGAGGCCGATGTGCAGGAGCAGACCTCGTAGCCGTTTTCCGAGCGGCTCTCGTCGTGCTGCCCTGGTTTGGAGCGTGCCCCAGTCCTGCTGCTCCCGGCTGCTGCTGGGGAGTCGGACTGCATGTCGCTGCACACCAGCCAGTCTCTGGCGATGGACTGGGGATAACCAGGCTGGGCCTCCAGCTCACTGTCCAGCACTTTCCAGTACTCCCTGCCCCTGAAGAAGTAACTTGCACCTGCAAAGAGACCAAAAACCAAAGGCAAGATGAGCGGTGACGGGTGCCCTCCCGGTGGAAAGGCCACAGGTGTGCTTGGAGCAGCAGAGGAGCAGTCCCACCCCAGGTGAGCCCCGGGAGCAGAGGCACATGCAATACCACTGCTGGTTGCCAACACCCTCTCTTGCTGCAGGGGCACAGCAGCTGCTGGTGGGATGCTCGAAAAGATGATGCTATGCCCAGCCGGGATCTCTCACACCAGCCAGGAGCCACCAGACAGATGGGAGGTGGGTGGTGAGATGTCGCTTCTCCTGTGGTAGGTCCTAGAGCAGATACATCCCCCGGGTACTGAGGGTGTGCAGGGTAAAAACCCTAGTAAATCCACGGCTGGACACACCATACACATCTCTCAGCGGCCGTCAGCAGACAGTCCTGTAACAGGTAAGGCTGAAGACGACCTCACCTACCTGTTAATGACCTGGGGTGCATGCTGCTATGCTGGGGCTCAGATAAATAACCTGAGCCTGGCAGGGCCCTGGGAACCTTCTGCTCTTGGGTGCATTTTTTCTGCTCTGAACTGGGAGGTTGTGAATTCTTTAAGCAGGTCCCATGCTCATGGAGGACTCCTAACCATGTGAATGGCCGGTCGCTCTCAACAGCTTTGGAAATTCAGCTTGAAAAGCCTCTGGAAATGTCCCTCCCCTCTGCCTGGTGTAATAGTTGCTATTACACCGTTAGGCCACCAGTAAATAAAACCTGGAAGTGCCACTTTGTTGTGAGCAAATGTCTGGTTTTAAACATCTCCTGTGACAAAATTGTTGTGGTCTTTTCAGGGGGAAGAAACCACTGAGAAATCTCACCCCTGGAAAATAAGTCCTAACTCTGGGGAGAACATCTCCTTTAAAAATATTTTCTGTCCACATCCTCATATATCTAGCTAAAAATCCAGTGATGACAAATTCAGTGAGGAGCAAATCAGCACATATTAGGATAAAAATCACTGCGAAACAACATCAACTGTGTTCTTTTAACAAAATAAAATTATTAGGCCCCCACGATATTTCTGTTGCATGCTTGAAATCACAAAGTCTTTTAGCGAGCAGTGTGGGAACGCTGGCTGGAAGCCCACCTCCCTCTTCAGCTTGCAGACACTGGGAACTGCCGTCCCACCCGGGGCTTAGCAGTTTACGTCGGCAGGCACGGTAGAAGGGGCTATAGCTCAAGTGCAAATGAAACACCGTTTTTTTTTCCTTGTGTGTTTTTTGAACTGGCATATGGACTCACCATCTGACCACCTCATGGCATCATCTAAAGGGCTTGGTATTCCCTTCCACAGGATGGTCTCTGAAGGGTAACCAGGATCCATCCTCCGCTCGTGGTCGTCGTAGCGCCAGTAGAGATTGTCCTTAAAGAAATAAGTCTTGTCATTGTGGGCCCAGGAGAAAGCGGCATCGATTCCTCCCAGTGGCAGACCGAAGTCCGAGATCGGCCGCGGGTATCCTTCTTCCACATTATTGTCTTTGAAGACCCAGTATCTGTCTCCTGTGGAAAGGAAAGAAGCACAGAGCAAAATTGCATTTGTTTCACAGCCGAAACCAGCATTCCCCTGCAGACGAGCTGATGTTTCGTTTTCTGTTGCCGTGACAATCCTCAGGACGGAGCTCTTGGCAGTGAAGGCGGCAGCCCGGTGGGGAACCCCGATCCTTGAATAGCTGCTTTTTTGTGTCAGGCTCTCCATGGAGCACAGCCCCACTTTGCTCCTGAACGGCTGCAGGTGTGACATAAACACAATGACAGCGTTAGTAGGGCTGTCACTTTTATGTATTTGGTGGTGGCATTTGGTTTTCTGCCCCTTTGATTTCTGCCTAGTATCCAACTGCAAGAAACAGAACATTACACGCAGCTTTCGTGGGCAAACTGGACACTTTCTGCCTGCTGTGCGACTGCTGGGGAGCAAAGTGTAGTCCCACTTTGGAAGAGAAATTGCCACGCTTTTTAGAGCCAGCTGGGCTGAAGGACCTGTGGATTTTAAGGGATGTGTAAGGAGGATGCACAGGGGCTGGACAAATCCCATCTGAGCAGCTCACTGCTCTTCAGGTGTCCTACACAGCCACACGCCCCAGCCCTACCCTAGCCAGGACAGAACTGTCAATATGGTGGTTTTTTCTCCGATAAGAATGAAGCACAACATGACCAGTCCCTGGTCTGTGGCAGAATGAGAAAATGAGCCCAGATATCTCAATTCCTACATAGTTCTCTAAACACTGAGATGGTCATTCTGTTTGTACAATGTCTCTTTGGGAACCTGCAGTGTCCTTTTAGGTATCACACAACCTGTTTTAAAGATCAGGCTTTTTCCTCCCTCAGTTTTCTAGAAAATCTGAAGAGGCACTTAAATACATGCCTAAGTATCAGCAGCAGGACCTTAGAGGCCAGGGTAATTTGTGTGCTTTGGTTTCTGTCCAGGGATCGATGAAGCAGCACTGGAGGGAGAGAACGAGACAGTATTTTATAGCTGAAAGAAAATCTTGAGCTTAACCTTAGGAGCTAGGCAGGACTAACATACACATCATGCGTGACCACGGCACGCTGTGTCTTGCAGGGGCAAGACCCCAGCTGTGGCACAGCTGTAATTCTGGCCTCACAAGCAGCTGGGAGGAGCCAGGAGAACCTGCGCTGCTGGAGGTCTGTCCGTCCCCAGCAGGGAGAGAAGGGGAGAAGGGGAGGAAGCCAGTGAGTGCCGCTGTGGTCTGCAGACCTGACTGGGAGGCTCTGGTGCCAGGCGTAAGGGCTGCCACGCTCCAGCTGGCCCCACTCCCTCCGGATTAGCGGGAAGGCAGAGTGGGGTGGGCTGCCCAAGGCAGCTGGAAACACGCGGCAGAGCCTTTTGCATGCTGTTCCCTGGGGAGACGCAGGGCTTGGGCTGCGGTGCTCAGCGCGCGGGCAGCCCCGAAGGGCTTCGGCTGCGCTTGGCAGCGCTTCTGCGAGCGCAGAGGCTTGCGCGGGACATAAGCCATTCCTCCTTGCTGGAGGAATTGAAACCAAAGTATTGCTTTCAGAAGTGCTTGGTTCAGCACCTCTGAAACCAGTAATTGCACCACGCTCAGAGCAGAGCGGTTGGGAGACAAAAAGCAATTTCCAGCCTGGGAGCACGGAGGGCTGGGATGTACTTGGCTCTTCAAGTGCACAACCTTTCCGAAACAAGAGCCAGTGCCTGCCGGGGGCTTGGGAGACCCTCAGTGCATGGGTAACATCTAATCAGCACGGGCGGATGGGTTGTGGGGGACTCGGACATTTGTGTAGGAACCAAGAGCTAATCTCTTTCCTCCAGCTTTTCTGAAAGAAACTTGCAAGTTGTTTTAAATAAAAAGAGAGAATTGTACCACTTATTTAAAAAAACCAAACAAACCGGTAACAGAAATATAATTAGCAAAACCAGCCTCTTCAGGTTTCATTTTTGTCGCCTCTGCTGCTGCTTCTCTTCTCAACAACAAATACTAAAAAGAGAAAAGGCCAAAGAAGGAACGCAAAACCTGTAAAGTGTGCGCATGGGTGGTTCCTGCTCTTCTTTTATTCTTGAAAAGCTAAGATTTCAGTTAGATTTGGCTGAAGTTTTTCTTCAATGACATTTCCCTCATTTTCTGGGGGGAACATGACTGCTACTTTTTGCCTGCCTTCCCTACGAGCTGGTTTCTCCTGGCCTTGCTCACAGACAACAGGTCTCGGACCTGCCCTGGGAGATGCTCAGTAGCTGACTCCAGTGTCTCCTGCCTGCAGAAGACAAAACGCTGCCCAGGTGCCTTGGCACCAGGCTCTACACCCGGGAGACACAAGTGCTACCTCCAGCACCGCGTTGGCTCTCACCTTTGAAGAAGACGATCTTGTGGTCGCTGGTTCTCTCATAGACTGCGTCCAGGCTGTCCAGGTTGAGCGGCAAGCCCCGCCAGAAACGGTGGATCTGAGCCGGCTGGAGGGAGACCAAGTGCTTATTGCGAGTCAGTCTCCAGAAGTACTTGCCTGGAGGAACAGACTGGACATTACTGAACCACACTGCAACCCACCTTCACCGGGGGAGATGAGTGCTGGGCACGTGGCAGCAGCAGAAAGCGAAGCGCGTGAGATGGGAGCTGTGAAGTAGAGGCATCCTGCTTACCAGCAGCAGCTGCTAGAGCTCTCCATTCATGGCAGCCATTAGAAGAAATCCCCTTTTTGGGATCAAAATAATCCTCTGGCCATTGCACTGGAGTTGCTACACTCCTGGCCGTGGTGTAAAGCTGCACTGCTGAGCCGGCGCAGGTGAGAGGAGCCTTTCATCTCCTCCTCCCTGCTCTGCACGGGCCCTCCGGGGAGCTGGCGGCGCCGGGCAGCGCCTGAAGCCAGACCAGGCACCAGCAGCCTTTAGCAAGAGCCTCCGAAGAAACATCCCTATCTCTCCTCTCCCAGAGCACCCGCAGCTTCCTGCACGCAGGGTGCCCGGCTGCTTTCACATTTAGAAATGTGTATGATGTTACCATGAAAGATGCAAATATCAGAGGGGTTTTATTAATGAAGAAAGAGAGTAAGAAAATAGAGGAGAAGGAAACGACATTAATAAAACTGGAAGGGGCTGAGGTGGGAAGGAGGCACAATTAAGGGGTTTGATACCATCAAGAGGTGTAGGTAAGCAGGGGACCTCGGTCCTGCGGAGCTCCCCGGGGTGGATGTACCGGCGGTATAAGCAAACGCACTTCCAGTGCCTGCAGCAACATTGCCCCAGCGAGGACAGAGTTTGGCTTGGGGTATTTCTGGAATATTTTGGGTAATGAAAAAGGAAACAGGTTTGTCCTTTGTGGGAAGGACGCCAAACATTCCCCTGCTGAAGGAGCCTTATGTGGGATTTCCCGAGGTGTCTTAATGATTTTAGGGGCAACTCAAAACCCGACTCTGCACGGTCTCTGGGATTCTCAGCCTGAGTTTTTGCAGCACACTTCGTCCTGCCTTTTCCCCGGGGAGCTCCACGCAGTGAGATCTGAGCCGGAGCAAGATGTTTAAGAGCCAGCTCTCAACTTTGCCTCGTATTTGTTATTGCCTGCTAGAAATTACTGCATGTTATTTACATCTGCTCTTGCATGGATTCCCAAGGGGAGATAAGCAACAGAAACCAAGGATGCATCTTCAGATCTGTATTCACAACACTCAGCCCTTTCTCCAGAGCTGGCAGATTGTGACACCATCTTTTAAAATTTTATGGAAATTGGATTTTAGCCTAATAATGCAGGAGGTGAAACTCTTAACACTTAAACATCTGCAGAGAGGGGGTTTTATTCTAATTATAAGGATTTATATCATATTCTTGTTCTTCTGCTCCAGTTTGCATATTTGCTCTATCTGACTGAAACCCACAAATGAACAATACATTCAAATGTGGTAGGAATTGCCATAATTACAGATTCTTTTTAAAAATGTTAAAAAAAAAAGATTCAAATTTGGTGGCCATTGTACATCGATGGAAACACATGTAATTAAATAAAGATGATCTCTGCATCTCTAATTAGTGAGGCACTAGACAAAGCCAGATTTTCACTTTTTTAACAAGAAATACAGCTCGACATAATTCCTTCTTTAGCAGATAAGTATCTGAACTTTAGAGTGCCCTGGGCTCATTTGAGACAAGGGAAGCTTCAGTGCTTTTGACATTTCAATCCTTTGCCAGCGATGGGCTCAGTGGGTGTGCAACTGCAGCAAGCAAGCTTTAAATCTACCCTCAAAGTCAGGCATAGCCTTGGCTGTTGGTTAGTTTGGTTGTTTTTCTGATAAGCTATCAGGAAAAAGCAAAAAAATATAGCAATTAAGTAGCAAGGAATTCTTAATGCGACGTGAGTCTGCCTGTGCTCATGTTTTGTCATGGCCAAGCCTGCTCGCCAAAGTGCTGTGGTTGCTTAGAAGATCATCAGCCAAAGCCAGTTCCATGGGGGAATTGCTGCCATTAACATGCAGAAGTATAATAACAATAATAAAAAAATCTCCCAACCTCATGTTTGTTTAAAAAGCTTGATTTAAAACCACCCTCTGAGCTGGCAAACTGAGCAGGATGAAAGCCAAGTGTAAAGTCCTGCTGTCCTGAGCGTCTCATTTTATATGGATGATGGGTTGAGGCAATTGCTTTCTTTAATACCAGGTGATTTTGACCCCAGCTGTGTACCACGCTCTCCGTACTTTGGCTGCCTCTGGCAAGACTGCTGCACGCACCATGCAGACACACACACAGGCTGAAGTTGTTTTAAAGCTTCAGGAATCTGTAGTGAGGCACCTAAATCCAAGCAAGCAGCGTTTCCCAAGTGCGGAGAACCCACCGTTGCCTTCAATACGACAAGCCTGGGAGCCTGGGGAGCTCCGGTCCTGGTGCCTGTGCGGTGGGAGAGGCTGATCTCCGGCTAGGGAGCCAGCCAGACCAGCCCAGAACAAAATGTCCATCGATGGAGAGAGCTCGTCACTGGAGGTCATTAAAATCCTGCCCCAGAGGTGACAACCCCGCTCCTTGGTGCCCGGGGCGGTTTGGTGGTGGCGATGGGGGGCTCTGAGGGAGGTGCGGGGCTGCAGAGGCAGCCATGCAGCTGGCCCCCGCCGACACTGTGCTCTTTACATTTGCATTTTGGCCCACAATAAATAATCCAAAAATAGACACCAAGATGGATTTCTCTTTACTTTTTTTTTTTCCCCTCTCTGAAAGACAGGCAGCCATTTATCCTGGACATCAGTTCTTGTCTCTTATTTTCCCTTCTTCACTGTGGCTTTTTGGAGCCAGCATTGGAACAAATACTACAGGGGAACAGCCTCCATATTGTGCTTCCCCGAGGGCACAGACAACATTGAATTCTCTGGAGCCCTTTTGCCGTTCTTGCCTGCGACCTGAGACTTGCACCATGATAACCGGATGGGTTATATGCGCCTGGACACTGCTCCTGATCCCTGGGAGAGACGCTTCTGCTTCCCTGCTGCATGGCTTTGCGGTGACCAAATGGTGGCCAGGGATGGAAAGAAGTGCCCAGTGGGCATTTTTCCATCTTGGAAAGACGGGGAAGAAAGCCCACGGAGTCCATCCTACACGGGCTCTGTACAGCTGAGAAGGCACTGACGGGATCCTCATCAACAGCCGGGCGCCCTGGGGACACACGGCCAGCAAGTGTTTGCTGACAAGGAGCCAGGCGCTCTGCAATCGGGCGCACGTTGTCTTTGAGCGATGCACAGCAAGCAGCATTAGGAAAGGTGAAGCGTGAGACGAAAGGAAAGTTGGAGGCATCCAGGAAAAAAATCAGTGGAGAGCTGTTGTTGCTCTGCTCGTCTTTGGTTCGACTCAGATTTCGACTTTGGTAGTGCAAATATCAGATTTTAGTTCTTCACTTGGGTGGTGTGGTGCAACGGATTCCGAGCGCATCGCAAAGCGCCGCGCTGGATCGTCACCAGCACGGCCGCTTCCGAGGGAAGCGTTAAATCCCGGCTCCCGGGCAGCCGTGTGGACACGCACCTGCCCTGGTGTTAGGACACACGTCCCTCGTGGGTCCCACACCAGCCACGCACCATGGCAATGTGGGCAGGCGGGTTTGCTTCCTCTGGTCTCTCCTTCCTGACCACGTGCCAGAGCC